CTCTCTCTCTCTCTCTCTCTCTCACACACACACACACACACACACACACACACACACAGCCACACCTACATGCAATTTATTGAGCCACCACATTAGACTATGGAGAATGTTTTATTTAACATTAACTATAATATGAGAGACTATTAACACTCACTGTAGTCTCTCCAGTTTACACTGTGGATCCATCAGTACAGCAGACAGCAGTGTCACTCCTGAATCTCCTGGTTTGTTAAAGCTCAGATTGAGTTCTTCCAGGTGTAAGGGGTTTGATTTCAGAGCTAAAACCAGAAGAGCACAACCTTCCTCTCCAATACTGCAGTGAGACAGCCTGTAGAGAGGAGAAACAATCCTTACATTAATCATGATTTTAAAAGAGCACTGCATTAAAATTCCTCTCTTTATGTTCACTCGACAAAATGATTTTATATTGACATTCTACATTTTCTCTTTCTGTAGGTTCTGTAACTGATTTTCCATACGCATACTAGTAAAAATTTATAATTTCATACATAATTGTGATAGAACAGAAACATATCAATCCACTTATCTACAAAATATCTACAAATGCCTTTTCACTGCAGAAATATCACTCACTGTAGTTTCTCCAGTTTACACTGTGGATCCTCAAGTAGAGCAGAAAGCAACTTTGCTCCAGAATCTCTCAGTGTGTTTGTGTTCAGATTGAGTTCTCTCAGGTGTGAGGGGTTTGATCTCAGAGCTGTAGCCAGAGCAGCACAACCTTCATCTCGAATACAGCAATTAGATAACCTGCAGTGAAATTAACAAAGAAATCATTTAGAGAAGGAATGCAAGCAGTATTCCAGTCTGCGCACACACACACACACACACACACACATCTTACTTTAATGTCTCCAGATGACAGGTTGAACTTCAAGAAATGATATCCGCAAATTAAAGTGTTTTATTGACAGGAAATTAATGGGTATGCACACAGATAAACTATAACGCTGATTTTAGCAGGAACTTGTAAGCCTATCATACATTTAGTTATATAGCGTCAATTATGTTTATTTATTTTTTTTTCACAATTCACAAATTTTCTATTGATACTCATTTTAGCCAGACCCCAGTTCAAGAAATGCTTGATCTAAATCTATATTAGGTTACAAGCTAGTGGTGGCGATTTGACCAAAATCATAAATCACAATATGAGTAATTTAATTTTCAGTTAATGATATATCACAAAATAAGTTCTTTTTTTTTTTTTTACCAGTAAAAACTCCACAATCCTCAATTCCAAATATCACAGCAAAAGCTAATAGCCTACTAGGTTAACTGATATAAGTATAAAGTTCTCAAACGATTAATGAAGACAAGTAAACAGTCAGTAATAAAATAAAAACAAATCAGCAAATTACAAATAACAGGAAAAATAAATGCAATATAACAAATATACAATTGAAATGGGTTTTTTTTCAGGTAGGTCTATCTAACAGTAGTATTCAAGTAAGGAATACTAGTGAAACTGAATTAATTCATTCACTTATATTAATTCTTTTTAAAACTACAAAAGTTATTCAGTCAAAAGTAGTTAGGAAAAAGCTGCTGTTGGTTAATTAATTAACTTTCATCTTGTTTGTGTGAATTGTAATAAGACTTTACAGTATTATGGCTGCTGTCATGATATTTTCTTACTGCAAAACAATAGACATCTAGTATTTCACTAATGAAAAGCGTAATTAGAATTTATATAAATGACTTACTCGGCTATCCTGGATGCTGTTACCACTGGCAGCAGCCTCAGTAAACATTCTTCAGATGGATAATATTCACTCAGTTTAAACTCATTCAGTTCCTTTTCTGAGTTTAGCAACATAAACACCAGAGCTGACCACTGAGCAGGAGAGAGGTTGGAAATACCACTTCTACCTCTCTTCAGGAATATTTGTACTTCCTGCTCCAGAGAATGATCATTCAATTCATTTAGACAGTAGAACAGGTTGATTGATTTCTCTGAAGAGGGATTTTCCCTAATCTTCATGTTAATGTACTTAACAATGCCCTGTCCACTGTGAAAGCTGTTTCCTCGCTGTTTCAGTAGGCTTCGAAAGACTGTTTGATTAGACTCCAGTGATAGACCCAGAAGGAAACGGAGGAAAAGGTCCAGGTGTCCATTTGCACTCTGTAAGGCCCTGTCCACTTCACTCTTTAGAAATTCCTGCATTTTTGACTTGGAAGTGAAGAGGTTTTTGTTGACAAAGGACACAAACACATATACAGCAGCAAGAAACTCCTGAATGCTCAGATGCATAAAGCTGAAGACTTTCCCCAAGTGCAGCCCAAACTCCTCTCTGAAGATCTGTGTGCAAACTCCTGAGTACACCGACGCTTCTCTGACATCAATGCCACACTCTCTCAGGTCTTCCTCATAGAAGATCAGGTTCCCTTTTTCCAGCTGTTCAAAAGCCAGTTTGCCCAGTAACAGAAGATTTTTTTTGGTCTGCTGAAGATCCACATCGCATTTTCCTTCATACTTCTGGGTCTTCAGTTTGGTCTGAACGATCAGGAAGCGTGTGAACATTTGAGTGAGAGTATTGGGGATCTTTCCGCTTTCCGATTCACGTAACATTGCCTCTAGAACAGTGGCTGTAATCCAGCAGAACACTGGGATGTGGCACATGATGTGGAGGCTCCTTGATGATTTGATGTGTGTGATGATTTTATTGGCCAGACTCTCATTGTGTATCTTCTTCCTGAAATACTCGTCCTTCTGAGGGTCATTGAAGCCTCGTACCTCTGTGATCTGGTCGACACACTCAGGAGGAATCTGACTGGCTGCGGCTGGTCGAGTGGTGATCCAGAGGAGAGCAGAAGGAAGCAGATTCCCCATGATGAGGTTGGTCAGCAGCACGTCCACTGAGGCTGCTTCTGTTACATCACACAACCTCTGATTGTTCCGGAAATTTAGAGGAAGTCGACACTCATCGAGACCATCAAAGATGAATAGGACTTTATAGTCATGAATGTCTTTTGATCTCAGCTCTTCTGTACCTGTAAAAAACTGATACAGAAGCCCCATCAGACTCATATTTTTGTCCTTTATCAAATTCAGCTCTCTGAACGGAAGTGGAAACATGAAGTGAATATCCTGATTCTCTTTCCCTTCAGCCCAGTCCAAGATAAACTTCTGCACAGAGACGGTTTTTCCAATTCCAGCCACTCCTTTAGTCAGCACGGTTCTGATGGGTTTGTCTTGTGCTGGTAAGGTTTTGAAGATGTCATTGCACTTGATTGGCATCTCTGGTCTTCTGGATGTTCTCTCAATCTGTCTCACTTCATGTTCATTGTTGACCTCTCCACTCCCTCCCTCTGTGATGTAGAGCTCTGTGTAGATCTCATTCAGAAGCGAGTTTCCTTGCTTTGATATTCCTTCATTTATTCGTTGAAAGGTATCCTTTAGTCTGGATTTGTGCTTTTTCACATACAAAGGGGCCATCTCTGATAAACAGATGAAGAGAAATAACAGTTTCTGTTTCTGTTCCTAAATTAAGGGATGCAAAATCTTATTCCAATCAATTCTCAATGTATAAAGTCCTGACCTACATTTGTTGCTTGTTGCATATCCTCTTTCACATGGAAATACATAATATTACAAATAAAACAGAGTGTGAACAACTTTACAAAAACTTAATACAAACACTGTCTTTCCTCTGAAATGAAGGAGATATAATAGTCACATGAGCTCTTACTGGTCTGTAGTGTTTTAGCGAGTTCTGTCTGGTTCATCTTTCTCAGGGCGTGAAGTGTGATCTTCAGAAACCCCTCTCTGACTTGATGTTCTTCTTCTATCTCAGAGGACACTGGGTAATCTGAGCTCAGTAATGCCTTGAACCTCATCAGCTCTTTCTTCAATAGAGAAATGACTGTGTCCTCAAGCTTCTGAAACCAGAGAATATTCAAACAATTAATCTCCATCTACTAATAGGAAGGCTGAATTAATGTACCAGTGTTACAAGCAGAGTCAGCACCAGAATGAATCACGTTAAGTTATTTGATGTTTGTATTTGTAGCCTGAGCGAAAAAAAAGTAAGAATTTATTTCACAAGTTATTTCATCTTACAATTATTCACAATAATAATAATAATAATAATAATAATATGTTTTATGTTGTAGATTAAGAATAGAAGTGGACCAAGGACGGATCCTTGAGGCACTCCACGAGAAAAAGTGACAGAATAAGATTTGGATTTATCAATGCTAATGAACTGTTGCCTGTCTGAGAGATATGAACCCAGCCACTGTAATACAGTTGGTGCAGTTGTAACGAGGTGTAAAAAAGTTCCAAATTAGCCAGAAAAAGAAAAAGACAAGATATGAAAAGGGGTAACGGTCTAATGACCACAAGTTTATTAATTCCGAAGAACATTGCCTTACACAATTCAAGACGAGCAGAACTTACAAAACGCAGCCACCGCAAACAACAACACGTTAGCCAAGCCCAAATAGGTACAATCACCTACCACATTTTAATGTTTTTAAATATTGTTTCCTTAGAAAATATTAATATAGGCAAATAATGTAATTAATTAGATTTCCTTAATCATCTTTTTTGATAGGTTTTACTCACCTACCACAATTTAATGTTTTTAAATATTTTTTCTTAGAAAATATTAATATAGGCAAATAAAGTAATTAAAGGGGTCATATGATGCGATTTCAAGTTTTCCTTTCTCTTTGGAGTGTTACAAGCTGATTGTGCATAGATAAGATCCCTGAAGTTGCAAAGACTAAAGTCTCAAAACCAAAGAGATATTCTTTATCAAAGTTAAGACTCTGCCACGCCCCCCTAAAACGGCTCGTTCTAACACGCCCCACATATCTACCTCACTATGTGGAAATATTAGCATAATGCCACCCAAATGATTTCCTTAATCATATTTTTCTATCATCTTTGTGGACGTCTACGTCACTGTGTGGGAAGATTTGCATAACGCTGCCCAAATGTTCACGCAAAGAAAGAAGGAGTAACTTTGATTCTCGCTGTAGTATTGTTGCCGCCGCCATGTCGTGAAGACACTGTGTGTTTCGTTGTGAAAGCGAAACTACTTTGTTTGGCCTTCCAAAAGAGGACACAACTAGAAATCAGTGGTTAAGTTGTATTTATAACACTGTTCCAGAACAGTTCAACCCAAATATTCAGATGTGTGCAGCGCATTATACGGAGGACGAGGACTGTTTATTTATACAATGCTCTGTGCACAAAGACTGTTTCTATAAAGTGGGGCAATTCCAACTTTGCAAGGACAGTCTGCCGCTTCTGACTCACAGCCTGTAAGTACATTTTAAAATAATGTGTTTTTTGAACCTTAAACCACACAAAAACATTGCATTACACCAAATACACAACATAATGTTCTTTTTAGCAACATCATATGACCCCTTTAAAAAACATTATATTTCCTCATTCCGATAGGTAGATGAATGTTTGTGATTATAAAGTCACTTATGTCATCCAGTCAAGTCATCTTTCCAGACTTTCCATTTAGTTTAATTTACACATGCAAAAACACCCTTACCTTAAAAATGGAGCCCAGCTGCTTCTTTCCAATGGAAGACACCGACCCATCCTGTTTGTTACTGTGGTTAGTCAGAACATTAAGATTTATGGTAAAGATCTATCCAGACATTAAATACGTACAATATTTAACATACTGTACATGTACAGTAAACAAGTTTATTGTAAACATACAAATACATAAAGTATAACACATAGTTAGTGTACAGGTACACCATACCTCCAAATCACTGTTTTCACTGCTTGTCCAGTTTAAAGAACACATAATTATTAACCGATTTATCTCTATAACCACAAGACTGTTTTCACCTCACATCAGCAGAAGGGTCTCCTGAACTAAATTTAAATGGACAGTCCATTGATGCATCAGTCTTCATGGACACACAGCTGGGTTCAGGAGGATCGCCCTCAGTCAGCCTATAACACAGTAACAATCTGAGATGTATTTGGCGCTCTCATTATCTTACCCTTAAACTTATAAAACAAGTACAAAATCAGATTCAGGCTATAAATCACTTTAACAGTCATGTAAATATTTGTAATGATTGCATAGCATTTAGTAAGAATTAGGTATCCTAAACTTGAGGCTGCCCTCACCTCACATCAGCAGAAGGGTCTCCTGAACTGAATTTAAATGGACAATCCATTGATGCATCAGTCTTCATGGACACACAGCTGGGTCCAGGAGATTCTTCCTCAGTCAGACTAAAAAACAGCAGAAATTTGTGATCCAAATGGCACTGAAGAGGTTTCTTGGGTGTGACATTGTATGATAAATTTGTAGTAGGGGCATTAGCATATAGGATGAATCATTATATTCCTCATTCCATGTTGCTTCGGAATACAGTGTCCACTAAATTGCTTTATTCCTTACAACAGATTACATAGCCCTGCACATTGAAAAAATAACAACAACAAAAAATAGGAAAAAAAAGGCCTACTATTACTTAATTTGATGATCCAGAGTTCTTTCCATCATGTACAGACTTAACATAAGATAAGATTTGTCAAACTATATAAATGTATATGTATTAACTGTGCACCTGAAAGTATTCAAAAATAATGTATTATTTAACCTACAATCTGCAAAAGAGTGGAAAAAGAAGTGGAAAGTGGAAGATTAGGTGTAAAATAATGTCTTGAGAATCATTCATACATGTGACAATGGACTGAGAATTGCACAGATCGTCAAAATCTGGCTCAGAAGAAGACAGGGATGACAGGGAAGACATGTCTTTTGGCAGTTTAAGGGAGAACAGAAAACTTTTCACCTTACAAATGGTTGTCGAAAGCAAAAATGCTATGAAATGAATGTGAGAAAGTGTCACATTCCAGAGAAAAACAGAAACCATTTTTGAAATCAGCACCGCAAAGAGAGTAAGAAACAAGTAATGGGTTTCATTCAGTAAATATGCATGCAATACATGTTTTGAATGTGCAAAGACTATAAATACCTGACATCAGCACAGAAGTCTTCTGAACTAAAGCAAGGTGGACTTTCCATTGCATTACATGCATTATTCTTCATGGACACACAGCTGGGTTCAAGGAGACTGTCTCTCAATCACACTAAAACACAAAAGGAACAGTCAGTTCAGTTTCATCAGTTCAGACCTAGGCTATAAAACCTGTACGGCCAGTTAAGTCAGTTAGCAAAGAAACAAAGAAATCTGATCTGGTCACAACATTTGATCTAACCAGCATCAGATGTATGTACAGTAGGTTTCAAAACAAGTGAATTTATTCTTAAACAAAAGACCTTTATACATTTATTCCAGTGGAAGAAAACATAGAATGTATTTTTAGAAAGTAAAACATGCCTAAAAGCCGTGGTACATCAAAAAAGCAAAGCAAAGCATTCAGAACTTTTAGAATTTTCAGATTAAAAACAATTTAAAATGCTCAAAGATACAGTAATCACAAGCAATTCAGCGAGAAGGTCCTTTTTTATTTTACAGATTTAATAAAGCAGTTCAGTTAGTCTTAAAGTCTAGAAGCTACAGTTGAGCTACAGTTTATGGTATTTACTTTACTTTACTTTATGGTGACTGTTGTTTCCGTTACCCCCAAAATGACACTTTATTTTCATTTTATGTTATTTTGTATATTTTTAAATGACTGTAGTGGCTCATAGCAATTACTAAATTTACGGTAGCACTTTATTTTACAGTCCTGTTACTCATGTACATACTATGTACTTATTATAGTAATTACATTAACTATAACCAGGTACTAATCCTGAACCAACCCCTAAACCTAAACGTACCCCATGTAGTTACCTTATATTACAGTATTTTCTAGGTACACGGTAAGTACACTGTAAGTGCATGTACTGTAAAATAAAGTGCAACCAAATTTACTGTATTAACAAAAACTAGTTTGTGATTGCTATTTAATGGCCTTACCTATTAAATAACGTTGCATATATATATACTATTGTTTAAAAAAAATGCATTTAAAACTTATTTACTCACTTATTTTAAAGTTGATATTATTTCAAATAACGTAAGTTAGAACGTTTTTTAAAAAAATGGTTTTAGTTAACTATAATAACCCTGTGAGTGAATGATAGCTTCACCTAATTTCTTGCAATCAAATGCAATGTAAGCAGATTAGCATTAACATAAGGCTACTTATTAGTTTTTGCTAAAAAAAAAAGAGAAAATAAATACTTTCATTGCATCTTTTTTTCCATAAAATAAGCATGAATGGTGACAATTAACAATGAGAGGCTATTAATGAAGTAGGTGCATGTAGCAACTCATAATGTAAAATCATTTCTGCGTTTGAATAGAAGGTGTATAGTTAACCACCTCTGTCCAGCAGATGGCAGCAGAGGACCATCCTGGGGGTGCTTCACAACAAATCCAATTTTGCTTAGATTCTTTTTTATTACCTAGGTATCCAAACAAAACCATAAATAAAGAACAAAACTATTTACGTAAATAGCCATGACATAGTGTAGCTTTACAAAAACGACTTTAGAAAACAGTTTTATGTTATTAAGTCATGTTCGCATTCTTGACGATTGCTATTTAATCAATTATCCAATATTATTATTGAACTAGGCCTATAATAGATATTATAAATATTATTAGAAAATAATAACGAGAATAAGACATTTATAAAGTGTTATAATCTTATAAAAATCTTTATAAAAGACATTTATAAAGTGTTATAATATAAGACGCTCCACCACTGCATCGTTAAAATCGTCTCAAAAAGAGGAAAGGACCACAGTCATCTACAAGACTTATACAGGATTGACATATTTTAGTCCAAGACATGCATTTATTTAGTTATTTAGTTAGTTTATTTGTTTGTAAAGATGGCGTGTTTGGAGCCTGAATCTCTTTTGAATTAGTGAGTACATAGATACAACGTACACTGATAACTATTGTTCGGAAAATGACAAATCCAGATAGTTTCAGTAGCTGCTGTGGTACAAGTGTGGTACAAGTAACTTGCCTGAAAAATATTACTGCAGCACAGCTGCCATTCATGAGCTGCACTGTGATTTTGGAGATTAGGGGAACATTCTACTCACGAAAATGCAAAACCCAAAAGTGAACATCCTATATTCTTATATTTAGAATAATAGTTATGTATAAAAATGTAAATGTTGATTTTTTGTTTTGACATTTGAACTTTTTCAGTTCTTTCCCCTTTTATTTTGTTTTATTTATTGCTCTGTTTATCTCTTATTTCTTTCTCTGCAAGTAGATTAACATTCAAGGTACACCATTTTATTGCCAGCCATTGCTGATGCTGCATGTTGTGTTATAAAGGCCTATTTAAATTTAGACTTGACTTTTTAAATTCTGGATTTTTCATTGTTTGATGTTCTGTCCTTTGTGTCCAGACACACTTAGCAGCCCAAGGACTGATAAAACTGTAAACCCAAAACTTAATCTAGCCTTTTTGGACAACATTTAAAAATTACGGTGACGTACGGTGACGCATTGCTGCCACACACATATTTTGTTTCCACTCAATTATGTCGTAATAACGAGATGTTATGTCGTTTTAACGACATCTTTTCTCGTTAAAACGACATCTTTTCTCATTTTAACGACATCTTTTCTCGTTAAAACGACATATTTTCTCGTTAAAACGAAATCTTTTCTCGTAATAACGAGATGTTTTCTCGTTAAAACGAAATTTTTTCTCGTAATAACGAGATGTTTTCTCGTTAAAACGAATTTTTTTCTCGTAATAACGAGATGTTTTCTAGTTAAAACGACATATTTTCTCGTTTTAACGACATCTTTTCTCATTAAAACGACATATTTTCCCGTTTTAACGACATCTTTTCTCGTTAAAACGACATCTTTTCTCGTAATAACGAGATGTTTTCTCGTTAAAACGACATCTTTTCTCATAATAACGAGATGTTTTCTCGTTAAAACGACATCTTTTCTCATAATAACAAGACGTTTTCTCGTTAAAACGACATCTTTTCTCGTTTTAAAACATGAAAACATGTGGTTAAAACGAGAAAAGATGTCGTTATTACGAGAAAAGATGTCGTTAAAACGAGAAAAGATGTCGTTAAAACGAGAAAAGATGTCGTTAAAACGACATAACATCTCGTTATTACGACATAATTGAGTGGAAACAATAATATGTGTGTGGCAGCAATGCGTCACCGTAAAAAATAGTGTTAGTGCCATAATTTTTATTTTTTTGTCTTTAGTACATACTTTATTTGTTCTTTAACACTGTTCTTATTGATTTAGGTTACATAAAATGTATAAATAATCATAGTATATGCTACTTTGCGAATTTAACAGTCACGCTTATGTATCCTCTCGATCAGTGTGAGATTATTCAGGTCTGCCTCAGAACCCGGAAGTAGCGTTCAGATACAAATGTATTGCTGATCGAGTGCCAGCGGCCTTCTGATCAGCTGTCTGTCTGCGGTTCATATTCAGCAACAATGCGAGTCCCACACGTGTCAAGGTGAGGAAGATGATGATGATGATGATGATGATGACCAGACCTGAGTTTTCAGTCATCATGTGCTTATAATAATCACACAGAGTGCGTTAATGGTTCTGTAGAGCTGAGAGTGTGACAGCAGCATATAGAGGTCATTTACATGCTTGTGTGTCATTTATTACAGGATTTCTGTTTTTAATTCGCTAATATGAAATATTCAGAGTGTTTTGAATGATGACAGTGGATTGAACTTACTGGAGCTAAATTCTCAGGAATAAGACAAATGCAGCATTCAAAATGCACTGTAATTGTGCAAATAAAATTATGCTTGTATTACCATGCTTTACGCATATCTACTTATACTTATATCTATATATAACAAAATAAACAACATGTCATATAAAAGATATAAATGTAAAATTTGCCCAATTTTGTGCATTATACATAAGTTCCATTAATGTGACTGGATTCTGCGATTTTTTCAGCGTGTTCCTCATTGTGCAAATCTACTTAAAGGGGGAGAGAGTTCACCCAAAAAGTATGAACTCACACTGTTGCTTTCAAACCTGAACTTACTTACTTTCTTCCGTGGATCACATAGAAGAGCTATAGGGTGAATTAATCTGTCAACCATGTTTTCTGAGTGTGTGTATTTCTGTCTTTCCCAGCTCTCCACGCATCCAGGCGGTGTTGACCAGCTCATCCTCGGGTCTAGAGGGCTTCAAAGCTCACGCCGTCTTCCAGGAGATCAGTAAAAAGCTGCATGAGGTACGAGAGGCCCTGTTGGGTTCATTTATCTGAATTCATGGGCTGCAGTGTTAAAGCACCTCAACATCTCTGCCCAAGGCTACAGCAAAATCAATGTGAATCTGTGTTATTACCCAGCTTTAATCATGTCAGCAGTGATCTTCTTGTCAGGCTTCAGGCCTGCGTTTCCCTGCCGGCTGGTGTGAACGGGTTTTATTCAGACTACAACGTTATTAGGTGCTGAGAGGATCGCCTTTTCATTGAACCCAAATCGCTCTGTCTTATCTGGACGGTCCTTTTCACATGTGCCACATAGTCTTTTAAGGTGTTTGGTGACATATGTGTCCATCCCCTTCCCCAAACTGCTCTTTCATAACCTGGTTATTATTATAAATGGAGCCATGACAGAGTCTTAGCCTTGTCATTCATAGAATAGATCACCTCGTTTTGTACCAAACTCATAAGGTTTGCATTCTTCATTACAACATAAAAGGGGATGTTTTTGCTGAATGTCTGAAAAATAAAACTGTTTTCAACAATAATTACAGTAGGAAATGTTTCTTGCACAGCAAATCAGCATATTAGAATGATTTCTGAAGGATCGTGTGACACTGAAGACTGGAGTAATGATGCTGAAAATTCAGATTTGCATCACAGGAATAAATTACATTTCACAACATATTCGCAATAGAAAAGTTCTATTAAATTGTTAAAAATATATCACAGTTTTACTGTGCTTACTCTACTTTCGAGCAAATAAATGCAGTCTTGGTGAACATATATAAGAGACTATTTTCAAAAACATATAGTGGGAAGTGGGTATATTATTGAGCTATAAAAAGCAAATAATCAGCACAATAAAATGAGTATATATTAGGAGTTTCTCCTAAAATGTAAAAGCAGCTATGCATTTTCTTGTATAAAAACAAATTTATACTATGTGAGAAAACTATTATGTAATATTTTAAAGACATTTCAGCTTCATTTTGTTTGACATTAAAATGAATTCAATAATTGACTTTTAAATAATAATTATTAATAATATATTTAATATTTTGTCATTAAATTATTTGTATTTTTTTTTTCTTTAAAAATCATACTGTCAATAAATTAGAATAATTGCAATTATTCTTATGGTTTATGACCAGTTTGTAGAATGAAACAAAATGATAATACCATCATATTTGGTGAATGTGGAGAAAAAATAAAAATACAATGTTTGTGTATGACTTCAGAAGAATATGAGTCATTTTGTCTACTTTTATGTTTTTGTTGGTCCTTTCTGGACCTTAATATAAAAATAGCCATCCACTTGCATTGAATGGAAAGCATCAGCTCCATTAATATATTTGCAAGACGTTTTCTTTTGTGTTGGATCCTTTCAGAAGGGTTTGGGATGACATGACGGTGAATGAACAACAGTTGTAAAGTCTGCATGAACTAACCCTCAGTTATTCATCCATGCCTCTGGTTATAGCTGTGAATTCGAGTTCGGTCGTGGTTATGTTCGATGATGTGTGTTTGTTATTGTTCAGCCGTGACACTCGCACCCTCTCGAGATTTGCCCAGTTTAACTCCACACGGCCGAGACGCTGATAATCTCCCACCATCAGCCACATTTCAGCTTCTGCCAAAAAATGACTCCAATAACAGCCTGTTACACAACCAGACAGACTCTGGGGAAAAACCAGAGTCAGTTTTGCTCCATTACGCTCTGAAATGCAGTGTGTAATTTTACGGGGAAATTTAACGCGAAGGCAGGAAGGTTGAGCGTGGCGTTTCATGTTAATAGCCTGCATTTCAGTGCTGTTTTGCAGCTGTTTATTACGCTTCTGCTTTGTGTGAATTTAAAGCAAGCAAGTGCAACAAATAGGATGCTGTTTGTATGCACTTTAGCTATTTGGTTGCATTTTATCATCTCTTTCCAAGGTTAAAATCAAGTCTCATGCTACTTTTTTTCTTTTCTCATTGACTTCAACCAGTTTTCAGATGTGGCCTAGTGGTTATTGAACATTTAAATCGGTCACACTTTATTTTAAGGTCCAATTCTCACTATTAACCAACCATTAAAGGGTTAGTTCACCCAAAAATGAAAATTAGCCCATAAATTACTCACCGCCGAGGCATCCTAGGTGTGTATGACTTTCTTCTTTCAGACGAATCCAGTCGGAGTTATATTAAAAATAGTCTTTGATCTTTCAAGCTGTTTAATGCCACTCAGCGGGTGTTGCATGCATCAGTCCAAAAGAAGTGAAATAAAAATCGCCCATCCATAAAAAAAAGTG